ACCTAGAAGGACCAGAAGCCCCTGGGTAGGACCAGAGGCCTTAGCCATGCCCCCTAACATCCACAACCAGTGCAGTGACAACTACCAAGCCACTGCAGAAAGTGCTCCAGGCTCCCAACCAGGGCAATGAGGGGGCCTGAGGGCCTCGGCCACACCCCCTTAACAGTGGCAACCAGCCGAGTGACGACCATCGAGCACCACAGGAAGTGACCTGGGCTCCTGAGCCGAGGTGGTGGGGGGCCGAGGGCTTCAGCCACACCACTCTGACATCTCCAACCAGCCTAGCAATGACTACTGAGCCACCGCTGGAAGCCCCTTGTTTTCCCCTGCCAGAATAAGGGGGGTGCCACAGGCCTCAACCACACCCATCCTCCTTCTGTCTTCTCCCACCTTATTTTCTTCCCTTTCCCCCTCTCCTCCTCACCCCTAACTGCTCCACAACATCGTAGAATGTTAAAAAAAAAAAAAATTAATACACTTAAAAAAAATACAAAAAACTAAACAAAAAGTATAGGAGAATATGTATATGATTTCAGGTGAGGGAAGGATTTCTTAAGACATAAAAAACAATAACGATAAAGGAAAGACATATCTTTATCTATATATTGAAGTTAAGAATTTTTATTCATCACAAGACTTCATAGAGTAAAATTTCACAAATTGGGATAAGATATTTGTAACCATATAAATGATAATAGGTAAAAGTATTTATAAAGACTTTATATCCAGGATATATAAAGACTTGTATCCAGAATATATAAAGATGTATGAGTTAAAAAAGAAAAAAAAGAAAAATTCACAGACAGGGAGAAAATATTTGGAATTCCTGTCAAAGGATTCATACCTAAGGTATATAAAGGACTCTTACAATGAATAAGATAACCCATTTTAAAAATATCCAAGATATTTTAATAGACACCTCACAAAAGATACACTAAAAAGCTTGTCAAAGAAGAGCAAATGTAATACTGTTCACCTACTAGAATGGCAAAAATTTAAAAACTGGTAATACCAACTGCTTGAGAGGTTGTGGAACTTTAGAAACACAGTTATACATTGCTGTTGGGAGTATAAAATAGTATCACTTTGGAAAAGTTTGATACTTTCCTTTATGTATGTATGTATGTTTAAGGTTAAACATACACTTACTGATGGCTCAGAAATTCAACCCCTAGGTATTTACTTAAAAAAAATAGATCTGTACATGAATGTTCATAGTACTTTATTTATAATGGCCCCAACCTGCAAACAACCCAAATATCCATCAATAGGATTATGGATAAAGATTGTGGTTTACAATGGGATATTATTCAACAGTTAAAAAGGAATAAAAGAGATACAACATGGAATAATCATAAAAACTAGCTGAGTGAAAAAAGCCAGACACAAAACAGATACTTTGCAATTCATTTATATGAAACTCAAGAATAGGTAAAACTAATCTCTAATAATAGAAAGCAGATCATCAGTAGTTGTCTGGGCCTGGGCCTGGGTATGGTGGTGGCAAGTTGACTGCAAAGGACCAGAAGGGAGCTTTCGGACATGATAGAAATGTTATATATCTTGGTTGTGGTTGGTGGTTACATGGGTGTGTACATTTTTCAAAATGTGCCAAAACTTAAAACAGTTGTATTTTACAAAAAATAAATTATACCTCTGTGAAACTGATTTTTAAAGGGAAACAAAGTATACACCCTTCTCCCTCATACCAAAAATAATGGTATATTTCAAAAGTGGAATAGTTTCAAACTTTTTTTTCCTGATAAACTGAGTAACTGATAGAAAGGTAGGTCAGCAAAGGTGACTGATTTTGATTTTAAAAGTTCCACACTTAGAGGCTTTCCTGCTATGGAGAAACTTGTGTTAGGTTAAATGTAACATTAGTGATAAGGTTGTTTCCTTGACTTGTGTACTTTACATTAAGTGTTAGGTCTGGTATTATCCTTTTACTATAAATGAATGCATCGGCATTATCATGTATGAACTTCAGATAAGTAGGAATCAGCATGTCACACATTTTAACCTATTTCAACTAAATATCAATAACAGTACTTCACAGATTATTGAAGCGATCAAATGAATTTTTTAAAAAAATTAAAGAAACCAAAAACCCATGAATAGACACTTTTTTGTTACTATTCCTCCCTTTGGTACCACCCCATAACAATCAAGGACTAGAGGTAGATAGCCTAGGTCACATTCCTCCAAAGGCTCCTGGTGATAATGTTTTGGGTTTCTTTTAAACATTTCTTTCCGTAGTTGTTAATTTTATTACTGCAGAAATAATATTTCATCATTTTATTTCACTAATTTGGAAGAAACTTAGGTCATAACTGCCCCAAAAGTGACCTAGCTGATGGCAGTTATAACTATGCTTGAAAATAATTTCTACTTAGAGCTATTTAATCAACAGCAAAGATTTGAGTTCCAACTTTGGCTTAGGTGCTGTAAAGATTTAAAATTATATATATATATAATATTTAAGATTATAAGATTTATAGTTATATATATATAATTAAATATATATAATATATATATATATATTTTTTTTTTTTAAACCATACAGGTAAAAAGGTGAATATTTAATATATAAAAAACCTAAAACTTTGTGGAACATAATGCGTATGAATAGAAAGGACAAAAATATTCTGGGAAAAATATTTGCAATAAATATAAGAATCCTGTCTATATTATATAAGGAACACTTTCAGGGTGATAAAATTATTGAGACACCAAAGACTAACATGTGCAAAACATACCGTACAGACTATTCATTCACCTGAGATGAAAAACGATCAGAAAACATATGCAGAAAATAATGTTCTAACTTGCCAATAACAAATAAATGCAGAGAAGAATATCACCATGGTATTAAATTAACTATTAAATTAACAAACATTTAAATTTTTACAAAGTTTATACCATTTGTCAGGATATATTCCAAAAGAGTAAAATAGTTAAATGTAAAAAATGAAACCATGAAAGAATTTCTAACTAGGACTCAAAATCCAGAAGCCATAAAAGCAAAGACTGATAACAGAAATGACAAATTGGGAATAATTATCTGCTATTTGAATCTCAAAGGGCTACTCTTCCTAATATTTAAAGAGCTCCTATGAAATGAAGAAGAAAAAGAGATCATCAACCCCCACAGACGAAAGGCAAAACACATGCAATGAGAGAACACAGAAAAGGAAGTATATATGGTTTTTAAACATATGAAAAGAGATTCAGCTTTATTCATAGTAAGACAAAAGTAAATGAAGACACTGAGATACCACTTTTCACCAATCAGATTGGCAAAAAGTAATAGTAGGAATAAAGTTAACCCTCTCAAAAAAAAAAAAATTTAAAATCATGACATTACTATCTATTGACTTACTCTGTCATAAAATAGTAAAAACTTACACAAAGGCCAAGCAGGTACAAAGAGTTATAAACATATCTAGGGCCCCAAACAAGGCCGACTTTACATGGTAAGTGGTCTGAACAATCAGAGAATTTGGTATGGGCAGGCAAGTATGGGGAAAGCTCCATGGAGAGATGGAATGTATATAAACCACGCATCCTGGTTTACGGTCAGTGAGATGGGCAGACAGAAATCTCCCTAGCTTGTTAGTATGCTGCCCTATTAGTCTGTAGAATGTTTTTGCCTTTACTGGTTTCTTTAACTTCATGGTTTTATTTATTGATATAACATCTTTTTAAAAATCAGAAAAACATATTTTGAGTGAACTTATATGATATGCTGTTCTTCAATTAAACATATTCTTTTTTTTACAAATACAGAGATTTTAACATTTAAGTGTATCTAAATGCAAAGAATTAATGTAGGTTTTGGCAAATATTTCTAAGTCTTAACATTCCAGAATCATATAACCTCTTATGTAAAGTGAAATTCAAATTTTACATGCTTAAAATTATTTTTCAAAACAGTAATTTATGACATTAAAAAATTGCAGTCTCTCATTAAATTCAATAGGGATATTTTTCTTCATATAAATCTTCCAAGTGAAAGCCAGTCAAAATAGTGAAAATAAATTCCTTCCCAATAGATTATTTTGGTCTGGTCAATGATCCAGCTTTTTTGGGTAACAAAAACTGTAAAGTAAAAACTTTTAAAAAATAATTTTAAAGATTGTTGCAGGGAGTAATTCTTTAAGTTTATATTGAACAGATATTAATGGGCAAATGTAGCTCATATTGCAGAAAGCATTTTTAAAGAAGTAATGTATTTGTTCTAAATATGCTTATGGTTGTCACTGAGTAAAGATTTAAACCTAAGTTATTTACCACTAATACATAGGACATATAGGAGATAGGGTCTTTTCATTTAGGAGAAGGTCACCATCATTAATTTTACAACTGATGATTTTATAATAGGTCCTTCTGGTTCTTGATGGTCATTATCTAAGTATAATGCATTGAAGATATGGTCTGTACAAAGGCAGAACAGGGATCTTAATTAGAATTCTGACAAGCCCACTCCAATAAAATGATGAGATTATTTGTAATTGATGTCACAATCAATTACCATTTAGTTCATCATGAGCATTCTAATAGGTCTAGCCTTGGTGTTGGCCCCAGGATGTTGCTGAGTGAGTGGCTGCCCTGCTTATGCCGTTATTGAGACAGGAGGGCACATTTTCAGTCAGCACCCTAATGACCTCTTTTGAAGTCTATTAAATTAATGACTCTGTCACACTGTTTTGATCTCTTATAACCTCAGTTGGGGTTTGTATAACAAATTAATGTTTGGGAATCACATGACAAAAAAAGATAGGTCTTTTAAAAAGTCGAAACCTTGAATATTTAGTAAAAGTAACTTTATTTTGCAAGAAATAAAAGCAAAAATGCAAACCTTAGTATTTCTATGTATTCTATAAAAGACAATTTTAGGACATTTCCCTCTGCCTCCAAATGATATGCTTTTTAATTATAGGACCCAATTTAGGTTTCATCTTTTTTTATTAGAGGTTGCTTTTCTTCTCTAATTCTAGGTTCCAATGGGTCATGTTTGGTTAGAAGGTGATAATCTACAGAATTCTACAGATTCCAGGTACTATGGACCTATTCCATATGGACTAATAAGAGGACGAATCTTCTTTAAGGTACTGTTTTCTGCTTAAAATGTAGACTTTATTCTCTCAGCTGAAAAAAAAAAAAAAAAGTGAACCTTGAAACCTTCAGGCTGTCAGTGGACTTAACTGTCACAGTGACTATATTTTATGAACAGTTGTTCTTTACTTAATGGCTATATGTAAAACATTATTCCCCCCACTCCCATAGAGATAGGTAATTGAGAATAAAGTTCAAACTACCTTAGCTGTAGCCTAAGAAACCTTTAATCTGTATTTCTAAAACTCTTTCTTATACAACTTTTACAACCATATTCATATCCTGAGCATATTTTAATGAGCATCTGCAGAAAAGCAGTCTAGGTTCAAACTACCTGTAATGCAAGGGATATACCAGTTACATACGTGAGTCATGGACTTATCGTGGTTATTGAGAATATATAATTCTTAGTGCCTTTTTTTTTTTTTTTTTGACCAGCTCCTCCTTTTTATCACAAGCAATAAGGAGAAAAACAGACATTTATATTTGGTGCTGCTGGATAATTTACAGGACTCTTTACACTTAAACAGATGCCATATTCAAGTACTTAAAACCTAAACACTTTAAGTTGAAGGTGTAGTTAGCCCATGAGGGCATTAAAAGAAAACACGGAAACACATATTAATGCATATGTATTCACACACTACACACATATAATTTCTTGTATAATGTTTGAATGTTCCAAACTTTAGAGTTTAAATACATATACAAGTTTATTTTCTAAAGTCTTATTCTGATGCAGAAAATTTTATTCTTGAGTGATGAGTAAGGAGAAAGCATTTAATTATCTGGCATAGAGAAAAGGGATGAAGAGAAGAAGGGAATACGATGATGATATAGTATCACTTTCATTAATTGTCTTCAATTATTGATTTTACAGATTTGGCCTCTGAGTGATTTTGGATTTCTACGTGACAGCCCTAATGTCCACAGATTTTCTGATGATTAGCAAGCATTTATACTTTTGATGTGTTTGTGTCCTGTTCAAGTAAACTTATTACTGCCATTGAGACTGTGTATTTACTAATAAACTATTTGCTATTCAGTTTGTTATTTTTAATTGTTAAATGCAAAGAGTAAGCAACATATCCTCTACACGCTACATTAATTCAAAATATATGGATAAAAAAGTAACCTAAAATAAGTCACTTAAATTTCATGATAGATATAAAAATATTTTGGAGGGCTAACCTGGATGACCACCTCACTTCTGAATTTTTTATTTTTATAGGTATAAAGAAAGTAACCTCTTCTTGAATATGCCTCATGCTTCAGCTACATTTAAGTCATAATAGTAACTATTCTTATTTATAAGTCCAATCATCTGACAACACCAAGACCTAATAAAAAGCTGCTAAGTTACAAGCTTGGCCCACTCATTTGAAGTTAAGTAAAAAAGTTGTGATCCCAAAAGGATCCCTTAAAGTTCTTTAAATGAGTTTTGACTTATATTGTACACAGAGTATTAAATACAAAGAAAAAAAAAAAAATATATATATATATATTTGGTGGCTGGCCAGTACTAGGATCCAAAAGACAAATCTTTCCGGGGCATGTCATCTACAGTCTGCCAATCAATAATAATACATTATAAAAGTCCATTTCATCATACCAGCAATGCAGTACACTTCCTTATTCATAAATATAGACATTAATAATCTTACCACTCTGAAATAAAAAGGAAAGTAATACACCAATTTCATTGTTATTTTTTAAGTTTCTGTTTCCTAAATTATATTTAAAGTTGAGATGCAGTGTTCACACACTTTGGAAATAGAGGGCCAGGACTGGAGTTCAGTCTTTTGACTCCAAAGCTATCTTTCTTTCTACTGTTGCCACTTTGCCTTCTTTATAACTTTGAAATAACCTTCATAATGGGAGAATATCCATATCCAGCCTTCATTATGGCAGAACTGGCCTCACATTTTATTCACAGAGACTCAAATTCAATTCTAAAGACCTAGAGTTTGAGATAGGTGTACAACAGGGCTATAACCTCAGCAGTTAGCATCATCTGTTAGATCAGAAACTTAGTAACAATAAAGGAATATGATGTTACTGTTAACCACCAGAAGATGAGACATGCTTATATTAGGAAAAAGAAAATTCTTATTTTGTACCAAGGAGGAAACAATAATAAAATTCACAAATGGGAATTCACTAAATGTAATTTACAGTTCAAGTCCTTTTTGTGGCAACCTGTAAATATAAATCATAAATACATATGAATAACTAAGTTAATTTTTTTATTAATCTGAGGCCTCTGCTTGACAATCTTATATTTTCTTTGCAAATAATAGGGCTGACAAAAAAAGAATCCACTTCCTTGAATGGACAAAGCTGGAATGGCCTCTCCTCATCATGTCTGAATTCACAGTTAAAGGATTCCAAGTAGTGAACAATTTTAGCTATAATGGAGGAGTTCTATAATTAGTGAACATGTATCACAAGAAATCAAGTTCACAACTTCTGCTTCATCCTTGGAAACACTGTATTTTCCACCACATCGGCAACTTAGTGAAAAAGAGTGATCATCTGCAAAGGAAACAAAATAATGCTTCAAACGCTTAAGAATCTACTTTGCTAACACCTTTAAAAAAATGCAGAGTTTATTCCAAAGAGATTCCAAAACAAAATAAAGAAGCTCAATAAAGATAAAATGTATTAAAAGGAAAACTGGAAAAAATTTCTTGTATGAGGCAGTATTTCTAAAAATTATCCATCAAAGAATATTTGTAGAGGAGATGGGCTAAAGCTGTAAATCAAAAGTCCAAAGATTTGGGGGGAGATGGGTTGCTTTTAAGCATGAAACTTACTTGAAGTTTTCTGTTTCTTAAGATTCATATAAATTTTACATTCTCAACAATGTATTTGTCTAAAATATTACAGTGAAGGAGAAAGAACAACAGTTTTACCTGTTTCACTGTTAAGGAGCAAGATGCTTTTGCCTGGGGTCTGTCCTTTTAGAGAAAACTGCCAACTCAACTGTTTATCAAGTTCAACATCTAGATACTTTATGTACTGGTATCACACTATTTCAAGAATCCTGCCTCAAATATATAAACACAACACCATTTAGTTTGTTATTTCCTGTGGGGTATGTGGGTGTATCATCGTTTGGTGTTTACAGATGATATCTGAATCATCAGGAAAATCACTGAACTGAGGTGCCCCAAGGAGGCAATATGGTGTACGTTTAGCTGCCTAATGGAAGAAATTTTAAGTCTATCATCTTTCTGGGAAATTGAAATGCTTGTGTCATTTGACTGAAAGAATCTCTGATCCACTGTTCATTCCATTTTACTGTCTTTGAGAAATGACTGTCAAAGAAAAATAATTTATCAAACACATTATCTATTTTATCACTATCATAATTTTTTTTTTTTTTTTTTTGTCTTTTGTCTTTTTTCCGTGTCCGGCAACGGATCGCAACCCTCAGTGTTGCCCCCGCACCGGACCGGGGACCGGCAACGGGATTGCAAGCCTCGGCGTTGCTCCCGCGCCTCGCTCAGCCAGTGAGCGGGAACCGGTCTGTATGTGGGATCCGAACCCTCGGACGGCAGCGCTGCCGCGCTTCCCAAGCGGCGCACTATCCAGTGCGCCCCCAGGCCGGCCCCTCTATCATAATTTTTTTTTTTTTTTGTCTTTTGTCTTTTTTCCGTGTCCGGCAACGGATCGCAACCCTCAGTGTTGCCCCCGCACCGGACCGGGGACCGGCAACGGGATTGCAAGCCTCGGCGTTGCTCCCGCGCCTCGCTCAGCCAGTGAGCGGGAACCGGTCTGTATGTGGGATCCGAACCCTCGGGCGGGAGCGCTGCCGCGCTTCCCAAGCGGCGCACTATCCAGTGCGCCACCAGGCCGGCCCCTCTATCATAATTTTTTATTAGAGATAAATGAAGTCTGAAAGGACTCATGATTTCCTACAATCAAATATATTCATTCTGTTATCAAACTTGATTAATATTTAGATCTCATCATATGTAATTTTAAAAAAAATTCAACTGCCTTATACTTGCTCTCTAAATAAAGTTCAGTTTCAGAAAAATTAGCAATTAAGTAAACCAACTTTATGTGCTGCTTTTTTCAGTAAAGAAAACGTGAATTCATTCACCTAATCCTGCTTTCTATTCTTCCCCATGATGCCTTTTTTCTCCATAAAGAAAACTAATCTTGGATTCAAAAATATAAATGAATATCTTCCCTGTCTAAGCCAGCAAATATGCACTACAGCATGTTTTCAAAGTGAATTGTTTTATTAAGTTGTCTAAAAATGTACATACTCTAACAATTGATTTTCTTAATCTCCCTCTCTTGTTTTTTTACCACCTCAGTGAACACTGAGAAACAATTTGAGGTGACATGTGCTTGGTAAATGACACAGAGGACACCATGGGCTACTGTGGAATTTTGTCATAGATGATTCCAAATGTTAATGCTCACTAAAAATTCACATCTTGTTAAACTTTCTTCTTATATTATTTTACTGTCAAGCTCTTAACAAAGTGATATTTTTGTAGAAAGCATTTTAAATACACTAAATGAAGACTAATAAAAGAACAAGTTATATAATAGACTAACTGTAAGGGGAAAGGTTATTTTCAATCTCTCAACAATTTAGGTATGCCGTTAAAGCATAATAAAATGCATCATTTCATAGTGTCCTTTGATCAAGCAGCTGACAATTTGGCTATATCTAATGTAGGGTTATCTCAATTTTCTTCTGTTTTGGATCTTCACCTTCCAAAGCTATTCTGAAAATGATCCTGAAGAAATCTTCAAATAATTTTTTACTTGCCCAGTTGATCACACTTTTTATTTAACTTCATCTGCCAAGACTGCTCTTTTCAATTGCAAAAAACTTTTTAGTTCAAAACTTGTATGATTAGTTTTTAATCATCCCTATAGGAATAATGGCTTTGTGTAGCTGTTAATATTATCTCTCATAAGGATAAGGATTACTTTCATCTTTACAATTATAAAACCCTTAATTTAAATAAGGATCTAAGGATGTCCTGTATTTTTAAAATTAACTATTTGCTTATTAGTAATTCATTGGCTGTGGTTGGGATTCTCTACATCTTCTTTACTGTCAAGTTTACTTTAGGGAATCCCATGAACAATAACACATTTAAGATAATTCTCGATGATTTCATGTTATATATTTCCTTTGACACGTTAGCATTTTCACTTGTATCAGAAAGTCCATGTATTTACTGACAGAACAGATGCTTGAACTGCCAAGCCATATTCTTAATTTAAAATGAAATCTTATTATATTTTTTAAAGATTAATAAAAAGGGAAAAATTACAAAAAACCAGTTTTCACTATTCTCACATTATCAGGAATCATTGGTAAACAAAATATATTAACCACATTAATAACAGGAACTAATTCATTTAATAAGAGATTAAACACAAACACACACGCATAATGACTGATAAGGCAGCAAACTATATTTTCAAAAAACATACTTAGTTGGGCAGATCTTCCTGATAAATAACATGTTCTAGTCTGTCCCCTCCACAAACTAGCAGTGTAAATCCCATGTCACTGGTGTATTGTTTTCACAGCCACGGCTCTTCATATTCACTCTGATGAGACTATCGCCCCTACTAGGTGCCCAGTTACACAAAACCTAAAATTTTCCAATTATTCACTGCAAATAAGAATTTCTACTGTAAGATTTCATTTGGGTGGTAGAACGGTCCCACAGACAAAAACATGATTCCCCTTATAAGACAGTATGGTTTGTGACCGACTTCTTAAGAGCACTAAGAATCTGCCATTAAAAAAGTAAAGTTACTTTCAGGAAGGATGGCTATATCTTCTACCCATCCATGCTCATTAGTAAATTTTTATAAACCTTTAAGAAATTTGTGCCCCAGGCTGAACAATAAAGTTATAGGGGTAAGAGTTTATAAAATTCTAGAAAATAGTAAGATTTTCCTCATCTGTCCAGAGAAAGACTGGAAATGTAGTACTCATGGCTTCCATTTAGAAAAGGATGTTTTCTCAATGATGCCTAACCAGAGTAATTCAAGGAACTATCAGAAGAATGGCGAAATTAAATTAGATTTAAGATTTAAAATTTTAATAATAGAAAAGGGAAAATACATGACTTAATAATGGGTCATTAAGAGGAGTGACAGATTTTTCTTTTCCTCCTAAGAGATAAACAAAAAGAGAGTTAAAAAAAAAATCAAGCCTCCAAGTATAAGATATAACATTAAAAGCCCTGCCCCGACAGCTTATGATTCCATATAAAGAGAAAAAAGAAATTCTAATAGGAATTTATCTCAATCGTCAACATAAAGATGTATAGAGAAAATTATCTTCTTGGACCTTATTTACCATGTTACATAGAGAGTAATGCAAAAACCAAAGTAGTAAACAAAACAAAACCCTTATGAAACCGTATGTACCTAACATCTAATCAGAATAGAAAAATAACTGGCAATGAGTCATATATAGGGGGACATCAATAAATGAAGTTAAGAATGAAACAAAAACACTCCAAAAACACACACACATACATGGATAGGCAAACTATTATTTCTTTTTAAGAATTTTTAAATATCCTATGAGGGTTTTTTTTTTTTCCTTACAGAAAACTCCTAATATTTTTCTTCCCTGTAGTCAAGAGAAAAAAAAAATCGAACCTTCGTTCCAAGACATTTCTTCAAGATGTACTTGAGCATCTACTGGTCCCATATTTCTTAGATCGTCTTCTGTAAAATATAAAAGGAGACACTTAATTTTGAAACTTTAACTGTAACTATGAAGAATGCTGAGAAGGCAACTCCAGCCTGGTCATTACAATTCTAATTGACCTATCATTTAAAAACTTAGTTTACTACTTTTTTTTTTCCTTTTTGTCTTTTTTCATGACCGGCAACGGATCGCAACCCTCAGTGTCGCGCCCGTACCGGACGGGGACCCTCGGTGTTGCTCCCGCCCCTCGCTCAGCCAGTGAGGGGCCGGTCTGTATGTGGGATCCGAACCCTCGGCGGGAGCGCCACCGCGCTTCCCAAGCGGCGCACTATAGCAGTGCGCCACCGGGCCGGCCCCTAGTTTACTACTTTTTTTTTTCCTTTTTGTCTTTTTTCATGACCGGCAACGGATCGCAACCCTCAGTGTCGCGCCCGTACCGGACGGGGACCCTCGGTGTTGCTCCCGCCCCTCGCTCAGCCAGTGAGGGGCCGGTCTGTATGTGGGATCCGAACCCTCGGCGGGAGCGCCACCGCGCTTCCCAAGCGGCGCACTATAGCAGTGCGCCACCGGGCCGGCCCCTAGTTTACTACTTTTGACAGCAGTGTTAAAGCTACCTGATTTCAGCTGACTAAGAAATCTAGAACATAATACTTCTCACAAATTTTAAGTCAAAATCCATCCCATTTTTTGCAAATAGGCAACACACCAAAGTATGAAGTCAGTTTTAATGGTTCTTTGTAATCAATCAGTGATCTCTATTTTGTGAGAAATAGGAAATTTTTTTTTTTTTATCAAACTATATGTGTAGCCAAGAAGGCAGTGTAGCGTTGTGAAAAAATAACTGTACCTGATTTCTAACCTTAGGTGTATCAGTTTTTTCATCTTTAAAATAGGAGTTATCTCTTCCTTATCTTCAGGAGGGTTGCTCTGGACTGAACTGTGTTCAACCAAAATTCATATGTTGAAGTCCTAACCACCAATGTGACTGTATTTGGAGATAGGGCTTTTAGGAGATAATTAAGATTAAATAAGGTCATAAAGTGAGGCCCTAATCCGACAGGATTGGTGGCCTTATAAGAAGAGGAAGAGAGAGAGATCTTTTTCTCCTTACACACCCACACATGGAAGAAAGGCCTTGTGAGGACACAGCAAGAAGGAGGCTGTATGCAAGACAAGAGCCCTCATTGGGAACCAAATCAGCCAGCACTTTGATTTTAGACTTCACAGACTCCAGAGCTATGAGAAGTTTAACTAACCAGTCTGTGGTATGCTCAAGCAGACTGATAGAATAATGTTATTCCAATGAAATGAGATCAGGCTAAAAGTGCTTTAAAGCATAAAACTCTACCCAAATGTAAGGGGCATTTGATTTTTAATTGCTTGCAACAGAATAAGTAATTTAAAGAGAGAATTGTTTTAATATTTCAATAATCCCACAACAAAACTATATCATGCTCATATTCCACTGCTGTTTCCTGAGCCAAAGTTTTCAAAAACAGATGGAAGGTCCAAGAAAGCCTGGAATTCCACCTAAATTTAGTAAGTGCACATACAGTCTTGCTTAAAACAAGTGTACTTTGGGACAAAGAAAGGAACTATAGATGGAAGCACTTGTCTTTGTTTTTAAAGGCATACATATTTCCTGTATGCTTGTATTGTTCTTCTAGAAGTCAATGCTTAAAAAACTACTAAAATCTACCCCCAACTCCAATGAAATTTTCTTTAGCTGTCTCACTGTTCTCTTGTTCACTTGCTGAGAATGCTTCCCTTTGTTCTGCTGTGTGAATGCCTGCAACTTAATTATATTTAATAACTGCCTGTTCAAAATTTGTTGGTGAGTTACACAATTTTAAAATAGATGAAAAGATTATACAATATTTTGAACTTGCCATTGTTTTCTATTAACATACGTCAAATATTATACTACTTCATATTTACTGCATACCAACAGTCAATCAGACTGTCCTTAAAATCCAAAGATATAGACTTTGCCCAGTGGTCAGAGATAGTTCCTCCATCTCTGTCTGCCCACTGAATAGCTTATGCAGAATCTATGAGTATGCTGAGTAATTTCTGAACAAAACAATTTAATTTCTACATTCTTTGTAAAGTATACTTGGCTAATGCTATTCAGTTATTCCTAATTTTTAAAAAGCTCTATCTAGAAGTCTCATGAATGGGGAAAAAAATCTTATCACATTTTACTTTCTTACTCAGAAGGACCAAGGTAGTTTGCTAGAATGGAGAAATCAAACACTGTTTTAGATTTGAAGAATGAGGTGGCTGGCACTTAGATCCTGTTTAGGGAAAAAAAGAAAAAAAAGTGTAATTGATTCACAACCAAGTTGCCTATATTCTAGGGTACCTTGTACATATCTTAAGTAATTTTGAAATCAATTAAAGCAAACCAGACAAAGCATAGATGATGACAAGATGAATAAGCTTGTTTAATCTAACCTATCTTAGGAACCTGTAGCATAGTCACTGTACAAAAAGACAATTAACCTATTCACATATATCCATTATGCCATTTTTACTTAAAGATAATAAATGAGAAATAACTTGCAAATATAACTACCAAGCAAGTCAGCTTCCTATGTTCTGCTTCTCTACGGGGAAACTATTGTTATTCTCACCTAGTTACTATTTCATGTGCAACCCTTTCTCTTATTCCACCTACTCAGAAAAGTGGCTTTTACATTTTTATTATTATTTTTTTCTTCTTTACCTCAAAGCACAGGAACTTTAGAGTAACTACATATTTCTTAGTTGAAAGGTTAGCTTAGATTCTATCTCATGGTAAAAGAGAAATTAGAGCAAAAAAATTGTTAGTACCTTGCCCTGGGTCAGAGTTAAAAGGAGTATATGAAAATATTCTCATATTCTGTGGCTGTCTAAACATCTGCATGTTGACTTGATTTTTCATTACCATGTGCACATAGTCCAAGTTTCTGTGGGGATTCTGGTTTTAAAAATCAGTATCTAACACAAAAGAGAACATTCTATATCATGCCCAGTTCTATGAAAGGTAACAGGCAAAACAACCCTGCGCTGTTGGCGGGGAGGGAGAGTGAGTGGTGACTGGTAGAAGGCACAGGGGGTCTTCTGGTTAAATGAGTGTGTTCACTGTGAAAATCCATCAAGCTGTACACTTAAATTTGTGCACTTCTCTGTATATATGTTACACTTCAATAAAAAGTTTTAAAGGTAGTGCATTGAGACTCCAATGGCTACATTTTTTTTTTTTCCCACAGAAATAAGGAAAGAAGAGTCTCATAAGAAAAGTGTATTCTTTTAAAGGACAGTAATCTAACAACTTCTGAAAAAGGCTGGGGGTGATTAACTCAGGGGAAAATTGGATCCCCGGAGAACTGTATAATGAGCAGACAGGGTACATACAAGTAAAAGGTGAATCTAAATGTGGGCAGTGGGGGGTGACCAAGATCCTTTGTTGAGAAGCAGGTGTCGAGGGATGGGGCAACAGCAAATTCCCTTCCTCCTCTCAACCCCCACTACAGTTACAAGGAAAGAGCACAAATAAACCGATGTTTTTTTTTTTTTCTTTTTAAACAATGATCTCCGCTTCTTCACTACTCCACAGTAGTGATTAGAAAAAGTAATTCTTCCCAATCCCCTAAAGTAACTCACAAGAACCTGTAATTAGCTTTGATAATTGTCTACTAATCAGGCACAGCATCTTCAAAACAGATGAGTTTTCTTCTGTAGCAATACATATATAAAAATTTTTACTCACTGCAATGAAACATTTTAATAGGGATCTAGAAATGCAAATCCTATCTCGAAGTTCTCCCGTTAACATGACACTATTAAAAATATTGAAAAAACATTAACTTACTTAGAAGTGACTTAATTAATGGAACAGATTCAAGATTTTAAATCTGAATCTTTGCTACAGAATAACTATTAAAAACCAACCAACCAAACAAACAAAAAAATAGCATTGCCTGGCATTTGGTGGACTGTATCCTGAGTCCAATGGCACTACATGATTCCTGATTCTTTTGAACTAAATGGGTTCAACTTTTTCTAAGGTATCTAGGAACATCAAGGTCTGTTCACATTCTGTGCTGTGCTCACAAGCTTAGCCAAATAAGAGAACGGAGACAAGAAGAATGTCCAAATTTACTTACATATAGAAAGCAGTGCATTATAGTTAAAGAGAGGTTCCTGAGAAATGTAATGATAAAATCAAATAATTTATGTAGTTTCTTGGAAAAGAATCTTTCAACCTTTAGAAGTATAGGCCCTTCTGACCTTGTGTTCTATTGGATTTGTCTGACAACAAGAGGTGAAAGAATTCTGTGGCTCCATTGTCTCAACAGCGGGATCTAAGAAAACACTGGCAGGACTCATCAGAGAGGTTTATGAGCCTGCAATTCAAAGAGATTAAAAGGAAAATCTATGGAGATTCTTTCACACTAAAGAATAACATTAAATAACTATTAGCAGCTTGGTTCAGTAAAGCCTACTAGAGCTCTCGCTGGGTCATTCACAACTTTCTAAAAGAGGAAAGGTTTTTTTCAGCTCCATTTGGGAATCAATAAATATTTCTTACTTCTTACAAGACAATGGAATTCCAGTCTTTTTAAACATCCTCCTAATGATAGTAAAATTCCTAAAACAACTCTTTGTTTAATGCCTAAATAATTATATTTCTACTCCCAGGAAAACTTTTCTAACTACAGCTACAATTATAAAACAAAAATAAGCAAAAATAAAAAATAATGGCAACAAAAAGCTACAGGAGAGAGGAATTTAACTTTATTCAATATGGCCAAGATATTTAAAAGTTTTATTCAACCCAATACTGGCCAAAGATCAAGTCCATCTACAGCTCTGTTCATATTATTCATGTGTGGCACTGTCATGTTATTCAAATGATCATCACGTACCCAAAATGGTCTCATTTAGCAATTAGTCTACTGTATTTATTTTTATGCCATTTCAAATGCTTAAAGTTTATTCCAAACCTAAAAACATCGGTGTAAATTAAAAG